AAGCTTTTAAGGGCAGGAGTGGGTGGGAAGAAAGAGACCCAGGTAAATAAAGCATCAGGAAGACTATAGGGCAGCCACAACTCAGTTATCAAAGGGACGTCCCTTTGTTGCTAACATTGTAAAGGCCATTCAACATTCCTTGGAGAGGGTCAGGGCTTCCAGAATTCCGGCTGGTGGCAAGGGCAGGGGCGCAGGGCGGGGGTGGGGCAGGGGAGCGTGAGGCACAGGAAGGGGCGGGCTGCTTCCCTAGGCAGATGGGACACTCCTTGAATCCACAGATCATTGACAGGACTCTCTCCCTGCTCAAAGGTCCCCAGTGTTTGCTCCAGCTTGGGGGACCCTCCTTTGCCCCATATTTGTAGCTCCTGAAAACTGGGGCACCTGTGACCCTTGTAACCCAGGTAGGGCGGGCCATCTCTGTCCCTTAGCATGCAAGTCTACTTTCGGAATCCCGTTCAGATCAAGGGAATTATCCAAATAGTGCAACGCTTCTGTTCTCCCTCTCCTCCTCTGCGCAGGAAATCCTCACCCTTCATTGACCTGGATTCCCGGGATAATTAAGGAAGATTGAGAAAGAAGAGAATGTGGTTTGGTACAATTGGTCAGCTTGGCAATCTACATTGCTGTGGAGAAATGACTCGATCTCTACTTAATTTGGTGGTTAGGGAGTTCTTCAGCCACTGCACACAATCAGCAACTCCCCTGCACAAAGAAAGGCTCAATAATGGGTGGCTTGACCGCAACACCCCCACCCTGCCCTGCCAAGGCCCACTCAGCTAACATCTCTGCGAAGGAAATCGATGGCAGTGTCCTTTCTGTGGGGCGTCCCCAGAGTCCATTCCCTGCTCAGCCCCATCAGGCCGCAGTGGATCCCAACATGTTCATTCTGAACAGCAGGGAGGGCCGCAGCTGTCCACAGCTGCCCAGGCTCCCCTCACAGGAGCAGATGTGTCCCTGCCCCCATTGGAGTCAAGAATGTCCCCCCGCCCCACCCTCCGCGGCAAACTGAGTGTCTGGGCTTCTCTACCTGAGGAAAAGTTCCCGAATTTGTGGGAGGTCATTAGTGGACTAAAGTTTTACCACTCGGGGAGAGAAGGTGCAGGAGCTTGGGGAAATCCACTGCCTTATTCCTCTCTTAGAGGGACCAACACCAGGCTTTCTTAACCAAGGCAAGGAATTTACAGTTTTTATTATGCTCTTCTATCCAAAATATATTCTTTTTCTCTTTTTTAAAGATTTTATTTATTTATTTGAGAGAGAGAGAGTGTACATGAGAGGGGGGAGAGTCAGAGGGAGAAGCAGACTCCCCGCCGAGCAGGGAGCCCGGTGAGGGACTCGATCCCGGGACTCCAGGATCATGACCTGAGCCGAAGGCAGTCGCTTAACCAACTGAGCCACCCAGGCGCCCCATATCCAAAATATATTCTTAAAGCCCGAAGATTTAGGAAAAGAAAGAGCCTTAAGAGAGGGGGTGATATTCGGGAACAGAAATCTGGTTTTACTCATTGGGTGAATGTCATGAAAATAAGTGCTGGTGGGCTGCTTTAATTCTTTCTTCTGAAATTAGAGTCTGTGGTCAGTGTGGAGGTATTGTATAACCCACTCTCGTTCTGTGTGATGGATGAGCACTGAGAATGCTTTAAAGTCCCTCAAGTGAGGGCCTTAGGGTCTCACCCAGGAGGAAAACTCTTGATGCTGAGGAGAATCAGGCTCTTGGGTCAGCAACAGCTAAACGTTATCACTTGCTCTTGACGTGGAAGACTTTCAGTTACCATTTGTTCACTCACCAACGTCTGTGCCTAGAGTGACCTTTGCTTATCATATGAAAATATGTTCCGAGGAAGCCCTACATGGTAGGCTTTATGAGGCTGAGGGAAGGTTCAGCTCTCCTTGAATTACTGGGCCCAGGAGGAAGCTACTCTCCCTGGAGGGGAGACAGGGGACTTACTGTCTGTGTAGCACTTCCACTTTATAGAGGAGAAACCCGAGGCTCAGAGAGGTCGGGCGACTTTCCCAAGGTCACACAGCTAGCTGTTCCAGTCCCTAAAACTATAGGTACAGGAACATAGGTACATTCTTTGCAACCCATAAGGCTCTGTATGGATGTTAATTATTACTAAGGCTGCTGGTGCCACCCTGGAAACAGAAAACCAAGTAGATGTTTCCTGGAATCCAAACTCCCCACTCCCATCCTCCCCCCACCAAATAGTATCAGAACAATCAGGTTCTGCTGTTGCAACATTTCGGACTACTTCCCGCATCCTACTTATTTCTCTCTTTTCTCAGACACCTGCTAACTGCTGTTTATTAGTTTATTGAATGGCGAATTTTCCGTAAATTCCATCCCAAAATTTTCTCCAATTACCAAAGAAGGTGTTCATCTACTCCTGTCCAACAGTAAATACTTTCTAAAAAGAGCTCTTTATTTTTGAATTGGAACTGATATCCTAAGGCTGATCTCTGGAAGTGTGTCAAATTTAAAATGAGTAAAGAGGGGCGCCTGGGTGGCTCAGTTGGTTAAGCGACTGCCTTCGGCTCAGGTCATGATCCTGGAGTCCCGGGATCGAGTCCCGCATCAGACTCCCTGCTCAGCGGGGAGTCTGCTTCTCCCTCTGATCCTCCCCGTCTCATGCTCTCTGTCTCCCATTCTCTCTCTCTGATAAATAAATAAAAAATCTTTAAAAATAAAATAAAATGAGTAATTTATGCAAAGAAATTGTGTTGCTTCCCCCCCCCCACCTTCCCTTCTTCCCATGACAGTGTCCGTGGACATCTTTTGGACACATAGACCAAAAAGAGGGCTTCTCTGGGCAAATAAAAGGAGGCCCCCCATTCGGTTTGTCGGTTACACATGTGCATGCCAAGCTCGGATTGGGCTCGTGAATTCCGAGCAGGAGCGCTCTCAGGTCTTTTCGCTTAGAGCACAGGCCGGGTTGGGGTTGGACATTTTAAGAGGGAAGTGAAAATTGGCGAAGCAGTCCCCGCACCTGGAAAGGGAGTGTGCTTGGAAGGTCTGAAGGGTTAGGGAAACTGAAATCAGCTCCTCGCCTTCCAACTGTTTTTAGCATTACTATTGCGTGTGTGTGTGTGTGTGTGTGTGTGTGTTTTAACGAATTAGTAAGTAAAGTCTTAAATTATCCACCCTAGAATCTGCACCAACTGGGACCCCAGACGCCAAGCGCGCTCGGGCCACCGCGCCGCCTCGGCTGGTGCGCACGCGGAGGCCCCAGACGGTGGCCCGCAGTCTCCGCCATCCGGGTTTGTCTCCCGCATCCTGCGCACCGGGGCGCGGAAACGAGAAACGCCTCCGCCAGGCCAAGGCCAGCAGAAGCCCAGGGCGTGTTGCTGTGTGAGCCCACAGAAAACTGCTCTCCCAGACCTTGGCAGCCACAGGTGACCCGCTCGCCCAAGACCCGGCCGCGGCCTCTTTGCTCCTACTGGAGAAAAAAGCATGAGCTGCCAGCGGGTTTTGCCAAGGCCCTTGCCAGCCCGGCGCCCACGTCCCGCGTCCTGCGCCCGCCGGCAAGCCTACAAGTGCTCAGGAGTCTTTGGGGGAAGCCCCGCTCAGCCGGCTCTGCATCCCCTCCCACCTCCCAGCTCCTCTGAGGGGGCGGATCCAGGGTCTTCCCGCAGCGTATCTCCTCCTGCAGAAAGAAACCATTTCGGACAAGCTTTGATATGTAACTGTGATTGAGGACACCCAGGTCGTGCTGGAGAGGTCCAGATCTCGTGTACACTCAGTCTACAATTACAGCTGGAAATGTCCCCCCACCCCCACCCCCCAGGCCCGGGAAGCCTGGCTCTCTTAGGTGGAGCACATTTACACGGACAGTCCAGACACTGCAATGGGGGCCCACAACGCCGGACTCGTCCTAGGGTTGGACAGGGTGGCTTGAATATAGTGGATCAGTGTGAGCCTCAGACCCATCCCGTGGCACTTGTATCCTGGGCCCCCAAGTTGCCCGGTCTAAAGGGAAACAGGAGGCTAGCCCCAGGCCTGAGGGGTCCCCTGTTGCCTTGGGGTCCTAGAGCACAGGAACTGAGTCATCAAGCTGCCTTTGGGTAGTGTGCCCTTGGTGCTCTTGCCTCCGGGGAAGGCATCTGGCACGGGCCCAGGCAGAGGAGGCCCTGGCATTTAGTCTACAGGGATGTTGCTAGCCACGGCTCACTCCCCTGGCACCCCACCTAGCCCCGACGGCAGCTCCTGGCCTTCCCCCTTCCCCGGAGCAGAGAACGCCTGTAAGGTGGGAAAGGGATGGAGGTTCCTTGTTTGAAATGCCTGGTGTGGTCAGAGCGGCTTCTTTCTGTGGGGTTCAGCCCCCCAACCAAGCTGAGGCCACACTGCTTTTTGTGAAAAGGTTTTCTTGGTGCGGTTGCTGCTGCTACCCCAGACCTGGGTGGTCCCTAAAGGAGGTTCAGTCTTCAAAAGGGCCAAACTCTGCCTTCACTTCTTACCCTGTCTGCATCTAGGAGGACGGGTGTGGCTTGTTTCTCCTCTGCCAACAGAAGCTTAAGTCGTGTTCTTTGGGGTCGGATAGACCTTCCAGTGTGTGGGGGTGAGAGAGAGTGTGTGTGTGATGACCCCCTTCTGCAGGAGTGGACATTGGGGCCCTCAGTGCAGACAGCTCGGGAGCCCCAGGGTTGATAAGCTCCTCAGAACCGGCCTCCTCCCACCAGAAAGATTGCAATGGGCACCACTTTCCTCCATTACCTGCTTTGTCAGCGCTATGGGAGGTGGTTCTCATCTTCACCTCGGAGGCCAGAATATCCAGCACTACTCAATGGGTATTATTAAATTATTTTTTATTTTATTATTAACTTTTTAATGACCGATGGGTCTCCCGGGGCAGCCTGAGGTTCTGTCAAGCCAACTCTCAAGGGCCGACCTCTGGGAGAGTCGGGGAGGCCGCCCGCCCCTGACTTTTAGGCCCATCCACCTTGGAGACACCCCCACTCCCACCCCTCTCTCAAGAGTGACTGTGGCAGCCACTCCGCCTGCCCCTACGGGGCGCCTTCCCAACGCTGGCCCATCGCGAGGCTCCCATCCGCCCACCGACCCCCACCCTCGGCTTCCCCGGCGCGGAAGACCCAAATCAGTACTTTGCTTTTCTCACTCCGGCCCCCGTAGGCGCCGTGAGAAACCTACTTCTGCTCACATGTTAATGTCGGGTACAGCAAATGAGGTGGGAGAAGAAAAAACAGACAAACCACTGTGGAATAAAAAGATTCCTTTTCCGCCCGTTTTGCTTCGCAGCTCGGGCTTCGCAGGAGAGGATGCGGCGCCAACAAGGGCTGGATAAGCGCTTTGGAATCCACAAAGGCGGGTGGCGTCAACGCGCTGCAAAGGGAGTGGAGAATTGAGGCAGTGAGCTGGATAAATGGGGGGCAAAGCACGAACCTATATAGCTATTTTGGCAAAGCGTGCGCGTGGGGGGGGGGAGGACAAAAGGGCTCATTATTCGTGCGATGGCTTCAGTTGTCCCCTCCCTTTGGGCGCGTGTGGACGCCGTTCCGGGCCTGCGCCAGCCTCGCGTCCCTACGCGTCCCGGCGGGCGCCCCGGGTCGCGGGCTCGCGCGGCCGCTACGGCGTGGCTGGGTGGGCGCCCAGGAGCTCGGCGAGACGCAGGTGGCCGATCTTCTTCACCTCGCCCAGGGCGGTGCGCAACTCCTGCGCGGGCGGACGGGGCAGCCGGCGCGCCAGCTCCCGCCGCACCGCCGCCGGGTCGCTCAGACGCGCGGCGAGCACGAAGGGGAAGCCGAAGCGCGCGCGGTACTGCGCGTTGAGCTCCGCCAGCCGGCGCCGCTCGTCCGCGCCCAGGCTCGTCAGGCCCGCGCTTCTCTGCTCGCGCTGCGAGTCGGCGGTGAGCGTGCCCCGCTGCAGCTCGCGGCCCGCCAGGTCCGGGTGGCAGCGCAGGATGCCCTCTTGGCCTGCAGGGAAGCACAGACACGCGGCGGGGGCACGTTACCGCGCCGCGGGGAGGGCGCACCGGGCTGCCTGCGGGCCGAGCCCGGCCTCCTGCCCCGCCCGAAGAGGGCCTCGCGAGCGAAGCAGGGTCTTCAGGAGGTGACAAAGGGGCAACAAGGGGTGTCCTGGAGGTGCAGGGGTGCCCACTGCAACCGCCCCTCAAACACGTCCCGAACCTTCGGACGCCCCTCCGTCCCAACTTCAGGGGCCTCCGCCTGGACCCAGAGGCGGGGCGGGAAGTGACAAGTTTGTCCTTTGAGACCTTGGGGCAAGAAGAGCGGAGGGGAGAGGCCAGTGGGGCTCGGAATTTACGACTTGCTCGGGAGGGAGCAGGGACGCGATAAGGAGACCGAGCATTTCGTATCTTTTCAAAGTCCTTTGCTCTCAAGGGGGCTTTGATGTCGAAGAGGGCCGGACACAAGGGCCTGAAAACTTCCTGCAAAAGCCACAGAATGGGTTTCGTTCTGTTCCAAAGGAGAAGGGCGGGGAGGGTCCAGAGGGATAACATCCATGGGGCTTGGCAAATAAATGTCCAGGATTTTGTGATCCTAAGTGTGAGTTTGGGGCTTCTGGAATCAAGCATCCAAAGAGCCTTACAGATGATTAACTGCAAAGAAGCCCATTTCCAGCCGGAATTCCACAGCCCTTTGAATGAAAGTGACTTCTCCTTTTAGGAAAATAACACCCACTCACCACCCACCCTGTCTGAGGCTGTTTCCCCTCCTCCAACTGTAGGTCCCAAAGACACTGCAGAGACTACCTTGGAGTTTTCTTGGAAGATAGTTTCTCATAATCTCCTAGGCCTAAAATTGGAAACCCGTGGTGTGATACCTGAGATTTTCAATCCGAATCCAGGGAGTTTTCCTGAGCCCCGGCCAACCATTTTGCTTAGCTCTCTGAAGAGAGAATTCGAATCCTCAAGGCTGGGCAAGATTTCAGATATGGTGAGCAGACAGCCGTAATCTGTACAATGAGGGTAATGACACCTAACTTGCTGAGTAGCTGTGAAGATTAGAGACCATTCATTTTCCTAAAACACAGTGCCTAATGCTAGCAAACATCCAATAAACAGCCATTATTATTAGTTGTAGTAAACACTGTAACTGGACTGTGGTGCAGCTGGGAGTATCTGACCGTGGCACTGGGATTAGTCATGAGTTGGAAAAGGAGGTCATTTAAAACTCACTCTAGTTATGGCATAAACCTCCCGGTACTCAATCCTTACAGTTTCTGCCTAATTAAAGAATGATTGGGATGGCACCATCTAACTCAGACAGTTGCCAGGTCGGGATAACTGGGGGGTGGGGTGGGGAACATCTGCATTGAAGAGAGCATTCGGTGAAAGCTCAATGGGCTTAGGTGACCTGCCCAAGGTCACTTACCTAGTAGCTCAAATGCCAGGCGATTTGGGGGCACTGGCTGTCCCTACAAGGTTAAGGGACGCTTATTTAAATGAAACTCGCGTCACCAATCCTTCCATCTCTACAACACCACTATTTTAGACCTCCTCTTATGGGCCCGGGCCCCGGGGCACTGCAAATGTGAGGTGGTTCTTTTCTGTTTCCTGCCTCCAGCCCAGTCCAGGTGGGGTGAAAATGAAGGTGTTACCTGCACTCCCCGCCCCAACCCCTGGTCCTGGAGGTTGGCTGTGCCCAGCGGGCAGCTGTCATGCAGAATCTACTCCGCACCCACCCGGCCCTGGGCCCCGCAAATGCCGGCTGGGGAATAGGGAAACAGAGTCCTGGGCCGCTCTACAGGTCCAGACCCGGAGGGCTCTCCCTGGCTCCCCCTCTTTGCATATTCAGGTTTTCAAAGCAGCCTGTAGACGGTGGGGGGGGGGGGCGCTAGCTGAGACCCAGTCTTCTCACCCACTCCCCCTCTCTTAGTTTCCTTTCCCCCCCTTACTTCTTATTCTCTAGAAGCCCAACTTGAGCTTGGGGGAAGTAGTTAGCTATTGGTGGGTGGTGCCGTTTTGGGGGTCCTTCCCCAGCGGACTAGCCTAGCTGAGAGCAGAGCAGAGAGAGATGGAGGTGCAGCGGGGCTGCTCCCATGCACACCAGACCTGCCTTTTTCCTTTTTGCTTTTGCACCTCACTTCCCACTTCCCTGGGTTCGTCTTCCCTCTTGAAAATGCCGCCTGGGGTTAATATTTGCCTAGAATTGAGCCTGTGTTTTACACTGTTTGCGGGGAGGAGAGGGGGAAGAGGAGAGAAGGGAGACCCAGAAAAGGGCAGAGCAAAGAGAAGAAAACACACACACACACACACACACACACAGCTGCAGATAAAAAGAGAAAGGTACAGGGAGTCCATTAGAGGATGGTAGCTCAGAAAAAAAGAGAACCTGATCCCGTCCAACCAGACTCCCCCTTTATTGTCCCACAACACTGAGCCCATGAGTACTCCCGGGCGGGGGAGGCACTGACCCAGCTCAGTGTAGTGTCTTGTGGTTCGCAGGACCATTTGAATGCTGCCTGTTCTTCAGTCTTTCCTAAAATCCTACTGCCTGTGTCACTGGCATGTCACATGTAGAGATGTAGGTGTAGACATGTATTATTTGCTATGACCACAAGTCATGCATCTTTGCATCTAGGAGAGTACCTGGCACAGAGCTGACTCTCTCTATTTCAATAGGAGAACAGAGCAGGCAATTGGCTTAGAACCCCACTGCAGGCCACCAGGGTCCCGACATCAGTAGGAACTAGTGTGTTCTCCCTCCTGGTACAATGGATCATCTGTCTCTTCTGTTGTGTTCCTGAAGCCAGCCCCTCTTTTCATCTCAAGACTACAATTTCAAACATCCATTTCTCTTCCCCACCCCCTGCTCTGCTTTATCCTCATCAACACACAAACATGCCTTAGAATCGCTCATCCCATCAAGAAATTTAAAACCCACCTTTGATTCCCTATTGTCCTCTAGTTTCTCCCTCTATCTCTGCTCCTCCTTACAGCAAACTCCTCAAAGGAGTTGTCTACTCAGTGTTCCCCCCTTTCTCACCTCCTATTCCTCCATTCATTCTATTAAGCTTTCAGCCCCACCAACCAACCAATGTGCACTCATCAGGGTCACAGATGATGGACATCTTGCCCAAGCCCAGTGACCAGTGCTCTGTCTTCTTCTTCCTCAGCCTCTTGGGAGAACGTCACATGGTTGTTCCGCACTCCTTAAAAGGTTACCATCACTTGCCTCCTTTCTTCGATGGCTCTTGCTTTGCCAGATCACTAACACCAAAGTACCCCAGGACTCAGTACTTACATGTCTTCCCTTCTGTATTTACCCTGATGCCCAGATGTTCTCATTGGGTCCCAGGTCTTTAAATGCCATCGGTTTTGGGTTTTGTTTGTCTGTTTTTAAAAAATTTTATTTATTTATTTCAAGGGGGGAGAGAACGATGTGGTGGGCAGGGGCAGAAGAGAGGGAGAAGCAGGCTCCCTGATGAACAGGGAGCCCGCCCCAGGAATGCCATCAGTTTTTTTTATAACACCCAGATCCAATCTAGCCTACAGCTTTCCAATGAGTTCCTTTGTTACAGTCCATACGGACACTCAATATTTTCATTTGGATGATTATTAGGCACTTCAGACTCAACAAGCTCTCATTTTCCACCTTGTCCTCTCAATTGTAAAGTTTTCCTCATTGTCGAAAACAGCACTACTACCCATTCAGTTACTCAGATTAAAAATTTAGAAGTTATCCTTAATTTCTCTTTGTTTTTGACCTGCCTTCCCCCCAAATCCATCAAAAAAAAAACCCATTGAGGGGTAGCTGGGTGGTACAGTCGGTTGAGTCTCCACCGACTCTTGGTTTCAGCTCAGGTCCTGGTCTCAGGGTCCTGAGATCCAGCCCCTTGTCAGGTTCCTCACTCAGCAGGGAGTCTGCTTGAGACTCCCTCTCCCTCTGCCCCTCTCACCCCAACTTTCCCTCTCAAAAATAATTAAATATATCTTTAAAAAAATCTGTCAGTCTAGTATGGTGACTAACATAACATAATACAATACAATAAAATTTAATTTAATTTAAAAACTGCCAGTCTAAATTTAAAATGTATTCTGAGACTCCAATCACATCTCTCCATCTCTCCTGCTCCAACCTTGTCTAAATGAGCATCACCCCTCACTTTTACCACCTCCGCAGTCCTTCTACCTGACCTCTCTTTCCTTACATCTCTCTACTCTTCACTATTCTCCACGTACCATGGGCTTTCTGTGCTCCCAAAATGCCAAAAGTCTCAGGTTCCTTTTCTTAGATGGCCTTCTCCTAGATCTTAGACTGCTTCCTTCTCAGTTTTTTGGTTTTAAGCTCAAATGTCACTTCCTAAGAAAGGTATCTTTTATTACATATTTTCTTCTAATAGTTTCTAGAATGTGAAATTACCTCACTTATTTATGTTAATCCTGTCTCTACTAGAATGTACCTCATTGAAGGTAGACACTTGTCTTGTTCACTGTTCTATCCCCAATGCCTGGGACAATTCCTGGGTCACAGTGGGCACCTGACCAACACATCACTCTTAGGAAGGAGTGCTATATATTTTTTTTGATTGCACACATTTCTTTGAAGATTTTACTTATTTATTTGACACAGAGAGACAGCGAGAGAGGGAACACAAGCAGGGGGAGTGGGAGAGGGAGAAGCAGGCTTCCCGCTGAGCAGGGAGCCCGAGGCGGGACTCGATCCCAGGACCCTGAGATCATGACCCGAGCCGAAGGCAGACGCTTAACGACTGAGCCACCCAGGCGCCCGATTGCACACGTTTTAATAGTCTCTTCTGAATACCTTATAGTCTGCATTTCAGGAAATTATTAGTATCTTTTTTAATTCATTCAACAACTATGTTCTGAAATAAGTATTAAGTAATAAATTATGGAACCATTGCCATTTTGAAATGTCACAAGGAAATAACACGATTAACCCTCTTTTATGAGAGGGTTTTTTGTTGTTTTTTTTTAACACAGATCAATACTGAACTGGTTTGTTATTGACTGTGGTGGGGGGATGGGGGCTGTGGGTATGGGTGGGTGTTTCAACCATCTTCCCTTTGCTTTTGCCATGCGTGCCCCTTGCCTGGAAATCAGGAACTGATCGGCTCCAAAAGGCACTTTGCCAATTAATGCTAGAGCTGAATATTAATCCTGGACTGCCACCTACTGACCAGTAATCATCACAGTGCAACTTAAATAGATTGCCAACCTTGGTTTACTCTAGAAAAAAGATTTTGGTTTCTGCTAATGGTAGAGAGATCATGTATAAAACAAAGCCTTAACCAGGTAGATCACCATATCCCGAACTTTTCTTTAAAGTGTCTTTTAGTTTTAGGATTCAAAGACTCTCTTACACCCAGTTTGTTCCAACCATGCAAAGATTAAAGCTAGACTAGTCAGTAAATCCCATTTTATTTGTTTATTTAAACAGCCAAACATAGGATCTGGGACATCAAGCATTAACGTTAACTGAATAAATTCCTGAATGAATAGATGAAACCCCTAGAAACTGTTTCTAGACTGTTCTTCTGATTCTCTAAAAATGCTTCAAAAGCTGTTGGGTTGACTATCAGGGTTTTGAATTCCAGTTCTGCCACTTTCTAGTTGTGTGTTCTTGATCAAGTTATTTAATCTCTTTGTGCCTCAGTTTTTCATCTGTAAAATGGGTATAATAATAATACTTGCTTTATAAGATTATTATAAAGATTAAATGAGTGGACAAATGCAAAATGCTGAGAAAAGTGCCTGAAACACACCAATAGTAAGGGTCAAATGCATTTTGGCTATTGTTATTATTAGTTGTCTATCTAACAACATCATCGTCATCGTCGTCCTCATAATCATCATCGAGATGATTAGATACAGTGTAACCCCCCCCATACAGCGTTGAAGCTCTGGTCCCAGCTGCCTAAGAGAGTGTGGACACCGGCTTAGGGCTGAGAAGCAGGCTCCACCCACAGGGAGGTCTCTCCACAGAACAGTGTCTAGTGCAGAAGCAAACAACCCTCCAACTGCCTCTGGTCATTTTGTCCCACTGACCTGCCACTAAAGTCACTCCAGGGAAAATGTGTGGGGAAGGGGTAATACCAGGAACCATCATCTTCTAAAATCATTTTATGATTTCATCTTCTGAATCATTTCATGCATTTAAATCTTTAAGTCCTGGTATCCTGTTCACTGAGTGATGTAGGATTCTGACGCTGGCCAGAATGCCAAGTTCCCATTGAGTTAGGAGAGGGATCAAATACAAGCTTCAGGAGGGAGGGAGTGAATGCCAACTCAAATCCCACTTTGCTCAGGACTGTGATTGTATTTAACCTTAACTAGACCTTAACTAACCTTAACTAGAACCTCTGCTCAAACCAATCGGGGTCACTGTTGGTGGGAAAGAAGACAGAAATAGGGAAGTTTTAATTTTATTATCTAAGTTCCTGGCACAGTAAACCCTAAATAAATGTTGAATAACTGGATAAACCAGTGAATACTAGATTTAAATTATCCATGTGATACCTTCCCTCCCCAGCCCACCACCCCTCGGGTATTAAGACAGATATTGGGATTTTTCTCCTTTTTATTATTATTTTTTTAATTTTTAATTAATTATTTATTTATTTATTTTAAAGATTTATTTATTTATTTGAGAGAGCAAGAATGAGAGAGAGAGAGAGAGTACATGAGAGGGGAGAGGGTTAGAGGGAGAAGCAGGCTCCTCGCCGAGCAGGGAGCCCGATGCGGAACTCGATCCAGGGACTCCAGGATCATGACCCGAGCCGAAGGCAGTCGCTCAACCAACTGAGCCACCCAGGCGCCCCTCTCCTTTTTATTTTTAACTTGATATTAAAAAAATGCCATTCATAAGGCATTCACACCCTTTAAAAATTCTTTCCCTCTGGCCTAGAAGGTTTTCATTTGACCTGCATTTTCCTGTCAGACATTTTGAACATGGGTTCTGGTGGCTTCTTGCTCTTTCCGGCTCGCTCTGCAGGCTGTGGGCTGACAAGGGGAGCCCCTTCGCTCATCAGGCTGGGGCTAACCATTCCTGTGAGTCATCAGGTATGAGGCTCTGGTGTCCGTCAGCCCCACTGATGCCTGAGCCCAGTGGCGGAGCTGAGAAAGGCCCTGAGAAGTGGGCGACTACCAACATAGTTCCGACATTACTGACAGTTAGAGTTTATAACACTGTCCTCCCCTCTTGCTAGATGTGCCTAAAATAAATTAAAATGTGTTCCTTCCTTGGGAGACCTTCACCTAACAATTGGAAACCATCCCGAATGTCTAACTCTGGACGGATAGGCAAGAGTCCGTTTGCTGGCCTCAGGAGTGGCTATTCTCTCCCCACTCCTCCACACACACACCAGATCTCTGTGGAAGGCCCCTCTGTGAAGGCAGCCCTTGTCCCTTGCTTCCCTTCAGGCTTTTCTGAAGATAGCCGGACAGCCCCGGAAGCAGCCCTGACTCTAAGCCTCGGCCTCTGAATCCTTGTGAGGCCCTGTGTCATTCTGAGTCATTGGGGTTAGCCTAAACCTCCACCTCTACCTCTCCTCACCCCACACCCAGAAGTGTCTCCTTTTCTCTCTCTACCCAGAGGAAATCAACAATTTCTTTCCCTTTCTCCAGAGGAATTCCTTCAGATTTTTGTCTTTTCCCCTTCACTCCCCCAGGGAGTTTCTGATCTGAATGAGTTTACTTTCCTCAGCAGTCCAGTCCAAACTGGCCCTTTCTGGTAAAAATGTCAGCCGTTTGCTCTTTCCCCTGGGCTCCTGAGATATTCTGATACTGGGCTGTCTCCTGTCTTGCATACAGGACATTCCCAAAGTGAACACACTTGGCTAAGAGAGGGTGGGCCTTCAGCCTGACCTTTGGCCTCCGAGCGACTGTGAGGCCTGAGGAGACAAGTGCCTGTTCTTCTTTCCTCTTGACCTCATAGCTTTAACATTTAACAGCTACTTTACCTGAGCCAACATATGTCTCTCTTTTTTTTGGGGGGGATTTTTTTTTTTTTTTAAGTAGCTCCTTGCCCAGTGTGGAGCCCAACAAGGGGCTTGAACTCATGACCCTGAGATCAAGACCGGAGCTGAGACCAACATATGTCTTTAACTCTACTTTTGGCCTAACACCTTGCAAGTGTCTGACTCCCATTTACTAAGTCTGAGGAAATTAAACCTGACGATAGAAATTGCTAATCAATATATCAACGATAAGCAACTCGGCTGAAATATCTAAAAATATTTTGATAAGCATATTTGAAATCCCTTTGTAGAGATTCTCAGCGTCCAGTGCTGAAGCCTTACCTGACTGTGGAAGGGCATCAATAAAGGCAAAAAAGTGCTTCTCTAAATCTTCCAAGTTGGAGAATGGGCGCTGGGACCAAACAGCAGCTGCAATCAGGGGACATCTCTCAATGACATTCCCAAACACATCCACAAATTCTCCGAAGTCCATGGAGTTGACCTTCTCAATGTCCATTGCTGGCACTCAACCCGAGGCAGCAGAACGACAGCTCCCCTCTTGAAAGTGAGTGACTCTGGCTCTGCTTACCAGCTTATACTTGCTGAATGTGCAAGCTTTTTTTTTATGCAACACCAGCCTGGCATGTTTTGAATGCCTCTGGCAGAAGCGGATCCACAATCCTTGTGTAATGAGCAAACACAGGCTAAGGTTCTAATCCAGGGAGTGGAGATCTCTACACGGGAAATGTTTCCCACCAAACCGTTCCCACAAAGCCGGGAGGGACCCTATTTCACTGTGGGCCTTCAAGCCAGAGAGACTTTTGGTATCATTAACATTTTAACGTCCAGGGTATCCCAGGAAGTTTTCTCTGATAACTCCAAGACAGGTCACAAGGTCACCCACTTAAAATTTGATTTCCCATGCGTCACCGCTAGAGAAGTCAGGTCGTGTGTTTTATCCTTTCTCTGTATCTCAGATGCTTAACATAATAGGTGCTTCATAGATGCTCGTTACACAGGATGTGCTGTCTAAGAAATAATTGTGCCCCGTTCTCAGTTGTCTCTCAAACAGCATTATGTGTTACTTTCTTCCTGAATATATATACATCTATCTGAAATCACCTTGCTTATTATACTTATTTGCATATCATCTCTCAGCCTCGATAATTCTATGAGTCTGGGGACGGTGCGTCTTGTTTGCCTCTGGGTCCTGGGTGCCTAGAACCGTGCCCACGGTAGGTACCCAATAAACACCATGGGGTGAATTAGTTGACCAAATGACCACATATATTAAATTTCTCACCCTAATAGCTTTCATGTATATTCAAAAAAAACAAAAAATACAGGGGAAGGTAAAGGCAAGGAAAAGAAGGGGTCAAAATTTTATTTTATTTATTTATTTATTTTTAACATTTTCTTTATTTATTTGACAGTGAGAGAGACACAGCGAGAGAGGGAACACAAGCAGGGGGAGTGGGAGAGGGAGAAGCAGGCTTCCCGCAGAGCAGGGAGCCCGATGCGGGGCTCGATCCCAGGACCCTGGGATCATGACCTGAGCCGAAGGCAGACGCCCAACGACTGAGCCACCCAGGTGCCCCAAGGGGTCAAAATTTTAAAATAAACTGCTGCTGTTTCCCGTTAGAACAAAAATAATGCAAACATATTTCTAAAAGCCATACTAGCTACATGTTTGCCTCCATCTGGGTCAAAACTCAAGGGCAGAGCAGCTCTTAGCATTAGTAAGTCAGTTACGTTTGCCACTGTGGTTTATGAGAGGCGGGTGACCATAGTTCCCTTGACAAGCTTTCAGCAACCACAGATTTTGGTTCCTCCCTCTGTTTGTAGACATTTTCCATCCCAGGTCCTCTCTGACTACCTGGGCCAAAAGGTCATGGCTGACAGAGTGGCCAAGACTTCATCTCTTGAAAAGGAGCTGATTAGATCTGCTTTTCCAAGAAGTAAATCCAGTGTCAGAAGACCGCCATTACTGGCTTGTCTTCATATGAGATTAACACGTATCTATAATGTACCCGAGTAAATGTGAAAACACACTGAATCCTGAAACGTGTACACAGTTTTGGGTGTAGAACCCAGTGTGGAGAGCACGGACCCAGGAGAGTTCTGATCCTGGCTCTGCCACTATGACCGGACATTTGGCAAGTTACTGAACTTTCTTTTCTTCAGTTTCTTTGTCTGTAAAATGGGGATAATAACGTATTTACCTTCTGGGATTTTGTGAAAGATGAGTGACTATACAGAAGTGCCTAAAACAGCTCCTTTACAGAGCACTACAGAGGCGTGGGCTAATATTTTCTGTGTACAATCTCTCCATTGGACCAACAACAGGATTTTCTCTTTCTTCCTTTCTGCCATTGGTCTTTTCCTTGTCTGTGCAGGCTTTGCTGCGCACCCACTTAACAGCCCAATATCCATTTCTTCCCCTCCTCCTCGAGGACGGCACCGCCCTGAGCCTCGGTTCACTCTAATGTGACCTGTTCAGCGTCTGCAATGTCCAAATAAGACTGTGGGGAGATAAGACTGAGGGGAAGTCTGGCTGGATCCCCACAACTGGTCTGTCCACGCTCCCCAGCCTTATTACAATCCTCATCCCTGGACTCTGGGAAAAGAAAGTAGACCAGAAGCCAAGAAAGAAGACCATCTTGGGTCCATGGCTCTTTGTCCCCCACCCCTCTAGCCTGATCCCTTACTAGTTCCTGCTCTTATCTCTGTACACTGAGGGTCTCCCCACCCCCAAAGGAGCTCCTGCCTGGGGCTTGGAGCCTGGGGGTTCTCAGTTCCTCTGAGAACAGCAGGAGATAGACATCTGAATTTGCAAGTAGAAACTCCTTCCACTCATGGCAATGCTGATACACAAGGGTAAGAAGGACCTCCCTACTGATATTACTACCTTTCTGGCACAGACTAGACACTGAACTTTTTATTTTGCTCTGTCTGTTGTATAATAATGAAACTCCAAATAACCTACTCACATTCGAACCTTCAAGACACAAAAAAGTTAAGGAATTAAAGAGTCGCAGACATAGAAACAATATTGACAACAACAACACAATACAAATTACTAATGCGGAACTCAGCAGCTCATGCCCCTGAGCTTAACTCAGCACTCTGGGCTTCACCTCTGTTGACTCTGACCAATCAGATCAATTGAAGAAATGGCACGTGCTCAGAAGGTAAGGCAATTTTCAGCTGAGCAAAAAGCTAATTTATTGAATAGTACACCATATAGAGGAGGATTGTGTGGTATACAGATTATATATCAATAAAGCTTTTTTAAAAGTGAAATGATATAAAGATGTAGCCTCATAATTTGTTTGACTGTACCAGATAGGATTCTTATGTCCAGTTGCTGAATATATTATATTTGATTTTATTATAACTTTTCTCTTAAGAGGTTTATAGCTGAACACGGAGAATTTTTTTTTTTTCCCTTTAAGTAGGCTCCATGCCCAGTGTGGAGCCCAATGTGGAGCTTGAACGCAGGACCCTGAGATCAAGACCTGGACACTTAACCGACTGAGCCACCCAGGCGCCTCGACACAGAGAAAATGCTTAAATGGGCACAAATTTTGGTTCCTTTTTTTTGGGTTGAAACATTCACACGTCCGCTCCCTTTAATTAGCAGCCCTTAACTTCTCATGTATGGAGTTTAAATGGGAGTGTTTTCCTAATAAGATGCCAGAAAGACAGATTGCTCTCCTCCATATATATTTTTAATTTGAGGCAAATTGGGAGTCAGAACTCAGATAGTCTTGCTGTTACCAGACCATGTTCCTTAGCTGAGGACTGAGTCAAAGCAAGAAGCCTGGCAGGAGCCCAGACCTGGGGTGTGGCTGCGAGGAGGCGGAGGGTGTGGTCCCAGCCGGGCCCACACTTAGTACCTGCTTTGTGTGTCTAAATCAGTGACTTAACCTTCTTAAACCTTGGTTTCACCGGCTGGTAAACTGCCACAGGACAACAAATGTTAATATAGAGTTCATCAGAGCAAACCTTGAAGACATTGTGCTAGGTGAAATAAGCCACTTACAAAACGACCAATACTGGATGATTCTACTCATACGAGGTACCTAGAGGAGTCAAATTCAGAGATGCAGAAAGTAGAGGGACCCCCTGGGTACCTCAGTCGGTTAAGCATCACCTTCAGCTCAGGTCATGATCCCGGGGTCCTGCTTGTCCCTCGCCCTCTGCCCCTCCCCCAACTCACATATGCACACTCTCTCTCTTTCTAAAATAAATGAATAAAATCTTTTTTCTTTTCTTTTCTTTTTTTTTTTTAAAGAAGCAGAAAGTGGAATGGTGACTGTCAGGGGCTGGAGGTAGACGGAATAGAGAGTTAATGTTTAATGGGGACAGAGTTTCAGTTTGCAAAGATAAAAAAGTTCCATGTGGAGATGAAAGGTGGTGATGGTTGCACAACATTGTGAATGTACTTATTGCCATTGAGCCCTAGACTTAAAACTGGTTCAGATGGTAAATTGTACATATACATGTACATATGTTATATATATTTTACCAGAAAAAATTCATCAAGCTTTTTTGCCTCAGTAAGATAGTTTGGAATTTAATACATGGTAGGCTCCTAGGAGCTAAAAAGATGTGGTGTTGTTAGGTGGTAACTCCCACCACCTTTTTTTCTGTTGCTGAGGGTCACTGTGGCATAGACAGAAGCAAATTTGAACTCTGATATGTCATTTATTTTTGACAAAAATGACAGTGGGAGTGGCAGGGGGGTTCGGATAAGCATGTCACTGGGAAAGTGCTTCATGAAGAGCTGAGGAAAGAGAAAGAAGATCAAGAAGAAACACAAGTGGCAGAGATGGGTGAAGGAGGGACAGAAGGTGGATAATCGAAGGGCTGGAACTTTGATAAGAGGTCACTCAGGACATCTTCCTGCTGCAGGCCAAACACCCCTGGCTGTTTTCCTTACTCCAAAAGATCTCTGAGAAACAGACTCTGTTTTCAACAGGAAGCCAGTCCAGGCTCAAGCAACAACTAAGCATAGAAGGTGCTCAAAGAAGAATAAGCTCCAAAGTCAATCCCCTGTGCTGATAAATGCACTGTGTAGAATTGAATGGTAAAAACCAGATTCTATAAAGAAGCTGACATAGACCGCTCTGTTATTGTGGGGAATGTGATAAATAAGGCACATAAAATGCGCAATCGTTATCATAGTCAAGAAATAACTGAGTACTGAATAAATGAATTTAAGTGATCTATGTAGAGGGTTGTTCTTCCTTCTAATTAACAGACTGGCCTTTTCTTTATTCTGCTTGTTAAAATTTGCCTTTCCAGAGGCAGGGTGCAGGAACGAAGTCCAGCCCAATGCCTGGGATTAATTAAAAAACAGTCCTAGGGCGCCACCTACTGGTTGGATGGAAGAGGCTATGCACGCAGTAGCAGGAACACATCTCTAAAATCAGTGCTTGTAAGTTGTGTTCTTCCACGTGGTAAAAATGTGTAGTTGGGGGCGCCTGGATGGCTTAGTCAGATTACTTAAAT